TATTGTTGCTGACAGTTCATTCTGCAGCTCTGGCTGGCAGTTTCTACATTTGTGTTATGCAAGATTTTAATGCTCCTTGCTTTGTTCTAGAGTACAGCAACCATAATGGGGCAGTGGGGGGAAATCAGCCATAAGTGAAAACTACTGTCTGGGAGCAGTCACCTGAGCCTCAGTTGTAGAATTCCTTGTTCTTTTAAACATTTCTAGTACAGGCATTTAAGAAAAAAATCTGTGTTGCCTGATCTGTTTATCTCTGTCACATCTCTTATTTGTATATTGTCTTTATTAGTATATATATATTATTAGTATATCCTAAGATTAAGCAGTATATATATACTAATAATATATATAATATTAGTATATTATATATATTATTAGTATATCCTAAGATTAAGCAGGAATTAGTACTTTTATTGAAGTTCAGCTTCTAACCTAAGAAGTCACCTTAATTTTTGCTTTTCTGTCTGAATTACTTGTTGATTTTTCTGCAATAAATATATTTTAAAAATGTGTTTTAAAAGCCCTCTAAATGTTCATGAGAATGAGCTAATACATGCTCAGTTTGCTCTTTTAAGGTAGGGCAGCTTAAAATCATTGTGCATAGTATATGAGAATGACAAATTGAATTTTCTTGCATTTCAGGTGTTACATTTACAACAAAAAGGGACGGCTGGTAAATGCACCATATGTGGACAACTCTTACAAGTGGGCTGGTGGTGGCTTCCTGTCATCAGTAGGTGACCTCCTGAAATTTGGAAATGCCTTGTTATACAGCTACCAAGCTGGACAATTTCAAAACAAGAACAACCAACTCCTGCCAGGGTACCTCAAGCCAAGCACAGTTGCCATGATGTGGACTCCAGTGCCAAAAACAGAAGTGTCGTGGGACAGGGATGGTAAATACGCCATGGCTTGGGCCGTGGTGGAGAAAAACCAACAGTGTGGCTGCTGCAGACAGCAGAGACACTATGCATCTCACACCGGGGGTGCTGTGGGGGCCAGCAGCGTCCTCCTCATCCTGCCTGAGGAGCTGCACCCCGAGGCTGGGGGGGCCTGGCCAGTGGCGCCCCCCAGAGGGGTCGTTGTCACCATCATCTGCAATATGCAATCGGTTTCACTCAACAGCACCGCCTTAAAGATCGCCAGGGAGTTCGACAGAGAGAAACGGGCACAGAGTGAGGGCTGAGAGAGCTCTGGGACTGAACCCACTGTGCTGCAAAACAAGGGGTGGAGTTGCACCTCGAGTTCACTAAGATATGGGAAGAAACAGCATAAATAATTCACTTAATGAACCTCTGCTAGTGGTGCTAAACTTACGTCTAACTGGAATTCATCTCTCAGGGAAGTTCCTAACTTACAGAAAATGAGAATGTAACAGTCAAAGATAACTTTCTGTAGTACCTGTGTAAATGATCATTGTATTAGCAGATTATTTTTACCAACTAGTGAAACACTTGACCAAGATAAAAAAAATAGCCTTTTTTTTTTTTTTTTACACTAAGTATAAATTACCTACCTTGAATGTTAAACTTTTGGAAAATTTCACATCTTGATTTGACCACACAAATATGTTGCTTGTTATTCTTACAGTTCCAGTCTGCCAAAACTATTCAGTATTACTTTTTAAAGAAAATTGTGTCACCATTGCTTTTTGTTTTCACATGCCATTTCCCTTACTTGCTTAAAAAACCAACAAAACCCAAACCTTGAAGCTACCTCCAGAATGCAGCTTTATACCAGAAGCAGGCTTTTATCAGAGCTGTGGATTAAGAACTAGAAAAGGATGAATCTAGAGCAATGTAAGTAAAATTCCTTTTGTTTTTAGATATCTCATCCATTTTTATTGGATTCAGAGAACGTGTAGAATTAGTTTACTGTGCAATAAAAGTATTATTTCTAGAGTCAAATCCACCCAAATAGCACAATGTGGCAAGCTGTCAAACTGTCCTGTTGTTTTTGAGTGATAAACACTTGGTGGCCAGAAATGGCACTGTGTTCTGTAGCCCAGATACTCCCTTGTGAACAGGAATTAGGAACTCAATAGCTCAACACAGCTCCAAGGCCATTCTTGAAGGCAGCAGTAGAAGTCTCACCAACAAACACGGCCCTGGCAGCTGGGGCACAGCTCAAAGTGCTGCATCCAGGGCTGGGGACTCCAACACCTCCAGGGGCAGCTCCTTCCAATGCCTGATCCCCCTTTCTGTGAAGAAATTCTTCCTGTTGTCCAAGCTGAACCTCACCTGGTGCAGCCTGAGGCCACGTCCTCTTGTCCTTTCACTTGTTCCCTGTGAGAAGAAGCCAAGCCCAGCTCCAGCCTCCTGCCAGGGACTTGTAGGGAGTGATAAGGTCACCCCTTCTCTCCAGGCTCCTTCAGCTTCTTGTCAGACTTGTGCTCCAGACCCTTCCCCAGAGAAGGAAAGGAAAGGAGAAAGGAAAGG